ACTACAAAGCTGTTCTTCATTTTAGAAGTATTATATAAAGGATTAAATGTTCCAAGGTCACAACCTGAGTCTGTGCACGTCACCCTTTTTCCCCCATCCTTCTCCGCTGCAGCACAACAGTACGAACAGGGGAGGGTCACATTCCTCAGCTTGTCCCTTTCTCCAAACTTTTACTGGGAGGGGTGAGTTAATTCCTCTTCGATATCTTTTCCTATAGCACCTATTTCTCAAATAACGGCTCTGTCACTGCCTTTCTTTGCTCTACAACACAGTTTGTTCTCTGGTCATAATCTGCTGATTAATGCAAATGAGCTGATCAAGACACTCTACATTTTGTGGTGTGACAGCTGTGCATGGATGTCCAGAACATGGCTTGTCTTTTACATCACTGTTGCCACTGTTGAAACGCACCACTCACTCCTCACTGTGCTCACATCCGCTATTTGGTCTCCATAAGTGTTCAGCAAGTATTGATGTATGTCAGTGGCTGTCATTTTTTCCACATGGAGGAATTCAGTGACACACTTTGCTTCACATGCACTTCCACGTCAGACACCATTCTGTCAGACTGCCCCTCTGCTGCCATCTGTCACACATCAACAGTGTGTATCTGGATACTGGTGGCAAGGAACAACCTCTACTGCCATACTACTGACATTGGCCTTTGACATTTGAGCCAACAGAGTAACATAGGAGACATTACTTTTGGAGCAGCCCTTGTAAATATAAATATACAAAATATAACCCACTGCCACATATTTTTTGCCTTTTATCAACCAAGAGATCTTACTTGCATTTTTACTGAAATAGTCAAGTATACTTAAGCATAAATTAATATGCAAGAATATATAAAAATACCTTGAAGGAGTAGAGCCTGTATGTAGTACAGTTTTCCCTGTGGTGTCCATTCTCTGAATCACTAAATGATCTAACACCATTTTTTTCTTGGCTCTTTCAAGAATATCTTCTTCTACCGATCCTTTTGTGACTAGCCGATAAATATTAACCTATGTATATTATAATAAAGGCTTTATTTATATGCTCACAAGTTACACATGACAATATTCAGATAAAATTAACATAAAGAAATAAAAAAAAACCACAAAACATAAAATACCTTGGAACAACAACAGGGAGAAATTTTAGCCTGAACTACAAAACTTCTAAATATTACTGATTGTCATATGCAACCATTTGATCATGTTATCATGGTTTCTACATAAAGTTTTTACAAAAATTGAATTTTAAAAAATGTATTCTTATAACTCCCCTCTTCAATGATTGTGCACAAGCACAGTAACAAACAAGTGCCAATGTTATTACTTGAAGTCTTCTGCAAGAAACAGAAGCCAAAGAGATCTACTGAAATAGAAATACTAAATAATTAATATTAAGAGCACGTGCCGTAAATATAGCAATTATTTTCTAGAATGACACGAACCCATGAACAGGCCCAGAACAATTCCCTCTACCCATCCATATATTGTAGCTACCACACCATCTGTCCGTATCGGGAGATTTTTTTTTTTAAGACTTCAAAGGTGCATTATTAACACTTTTAGACATACCTAGCGAGTACTAGTTATTCTCAAAGTACACAAAGCCTACAAAGGCCTGGACAAACAGCTTATGGCTACGCTGTGTGAAACCCTCATTCAGGTTTGGAGTTTATAAAAAAATGCGCATACCTGTTTCTTTTGTCCAATCCTATGAGCTCTAGCCTGTGCTTGCAGATCATTTTGTGGATTCCAGTCAGAATCAAATATAACTACAGTGTCAGCAGATGCCAAGTTTATACCTAATCCTCCAGCTCTGGTAGACAGCAAAAAGCAGAAATCCTGAAATCATAAAGTAAGAAATAGCTTTATATACGTATTAGTTACAATAAACTTCAAGGAACCAGTATATGCAGTGGAACATACTATCAACTGATACACTATTAAATAGATGTTCCATAGGTGAAGGTTCTTTAAGTATAAAGCAAACTGATCTGTTTCTCTTGTGAACAGTTATCAATTTCGCCATTGTAATGGAATTCCAAGGTTACAGCCTGAACCAATGGGTGAGCTACAGGAGTACGTGAGCATCTGGAGCAGGTGGGGGGGTCTAGAGCCACCCCTTCTGTCTCCACGATACTTCCTGTGCCATCTGAGTCTGTGCGGGTCCCCCTTTCCCCCACCCTTCTCTGCTGCAGTGCGATGGTATGAACGGGGGAGGGTCTCATTCCTCAGCTCATCCCTTTCTCCAAACTGTTACCAGGAGGGATGAGTTAATTTCTCTTTGATATCTTTACCTATAGCATCTATTTCTCAAATAATGGCTCTGTCATTGCCTTTATTTACTCTACAACCATGATTTAAAGGAAGCAGCATCCAAGAAGTTGAGTAACAGCCACTTCGGGAGAAAAAACCTAGCAAAGCAAAATATGGGCAAAAAGTACAAACTCCTCTGCTATTAAAGCCTTGTATGTACTCAAGGCTCAAGCCCTCGGGCTTGTGATTTTCTTTCCTGTTATGATGTTAAGAGATAGGAAACAAGCATTCTGCTAGGATCAATGCTCTTCAATATATTCATAAACAATATGAAAATGATATGATCAAAATTTTCAGAAGGTAGGAAGTTAATCGGGGACAAGTATGAAGGGCTACAAAGGATCTTATGAGATAGCATACAAAATTGAAGATAAAGTGAAGTAGAGACTAATTTTGAATGTTAAATACAGTGACAAGTAATAGCAAACCATTAACACTCAAGAATGAGTCTTCGGAGTTGCCATAAATATTTCCATGGAGACCTTTGCTTAGTAATAGCCAAAAATAATTAAGTAAAATGAAGTTTTATGGAGTATTAGCAAACATATACAGAATAAAAAAAGGAAGCAATTTTGTTTCTGCACAACTTTTTAGTTAGTCTCCATTTTTTGAACAGCATATGAAGTTTGGATCCTCCTCCACTTCAAAGAAACAAACACATATGCAACACAGCTACAAGGATTCCAGAAAAATGCAATGATATCTATACTAAAAATTTTAATAATTTAGTTCTGTTTTAACAAATATCTTAAGTTTATGTTATGAAATTAAGTCCTTCCTCCTAAACCACAGCAGAAATATAAGCTCAACAGTAAATGACAAATGCTGTGCTTCTACTACTGAAAAAACTCTGACAGTGCAGAACAAAAACCTATGATTATCAAAGGTATAGAATGGCTTCTGTCAAAAATCTAAAACTGTAACTAATAGTTAAACAATTTTCATAAATTGTTTCTTCTTTAATCTCTTCTCAGAAAAAATTGAGTTGTTGAAATTTTATTTGTTATCCTATAAGGTTTTTCTGTTTTCAATTTTCCTGCCATATAGATTAAAAAACCATCACCCACTAATGCCATACCTCTGATCCTTCTGCATTGAAGTGATCTAGTGCTTGTTTCCTCAGTTCTCCTTTTATTGATCCATCAAGTCTCTAAAGAGATCAAATATTACAGTTAAAAAGAAACTCTCATACTATATTCTAATCAGAGCAACCTGAATGCATACTTAGTTGCCAAAAGAATTGAGGGCAAGGGGAGGAATGGGGATGAAGGAGGAGGAGGAGAATAATGCAACACCTCACACTATAGTAATTGCCAGTCTTTTTCTATACATAAAATTAAACTTCTATAAGTCTTTTTACAGAAAGGACACTTTTAATTAAGATAAAGATTAAAGCTTCTTCACTACTACCATCAAAATCCTTACCTGAAAAGGAAACTGACGATACTTCAAGTATTCTGCTAGGATGTCTAGCATCCTCACCATCTGAGAGAAAATCAGTACTCTGTTGCCACGTTCTCGTAGACGAATCAGTAACTTGTCAAGGAGGATTAGTTTCCCACTGCTACGAATTAAATGCTACAAAGATAAGAAGTTGTGTATTGCAAAATAAGTTTACCTCAGCACTAACATACACTGCAGTTGGTTAGACATTCATTTTATGTCTGCTTTCTTGTCTATTGGCATAGGAAGAACGACAGAAATCCTGACATTCCATTAAAAACGCATTTTAAAATATGCACACACAAGTCTCCTAGACCCAAATAACACGTTCAGATGACCACACAACACCACTAATATACATTTACTAGTATGCAGCATTAACTGAACATGAAAGCTTAATAAGGATTTAGTCAGTCCTGACCTTGTAAAAGCTTATATATATATAAAAAAAAAAAAAAAAAAAAAAACACTCTAACTGAAAGCAGAGATACTAATTAGCATTATTATTATTTTTTTTTAAAGGAAATGCATTTCTCTGGCTAATAAAACAGCATTTTATTAATCAAAATATTAGAGCAATTAGAATACAGATTCAAGTTTTTTTTCCTACCAAATCAACAACAAAAAAACAACAAAAGACTACCTGACTACTTTAGTATTACTTACTCTTTACTTTCCATATTTTGAACAGAAATAAGCATTGCTACTTAATCCTCTAATTATTTTTTCAATAACGAAAAATTTGTCAAGTTTCTCAGCCAAGATAAGTGAGAGGAATATTGTTTGTAGAGTCCAACAGGCTTTAGATAATTTACATCATCATCCCTTCTCAGCTCCAGTTGGAACAACTAGAACCAAAATTCAGGTGCACGTAGAACTTATTGTTGGAAACATTAGGTCACTTTAGGTGAAAAGGTTCAGGTTAGAATTATGCAGAATAAAAAAATTTGGAGTTAGTTGCTTTTATTCCTTTTGCCAGAGAAGAGAAGGATGCATCATTCATAACAAGAGCTAACAAAGCTTATTCAGATGAGTCAAGGAAATCGTTGTTAAAAACATGCAGTTATTACAAATAATGGCTGAACAGTTCTGAAGGATTTAATTATAATTCAGGTAGTTAAAGTGTGCCAAGTTGTAAAACACCCTAGAATGGCTTGGGTTGGAAGGGACCTCAAGGATCATGAACCTCCAACCCCCCCACCACAGGCAGGGCCACCAACCTCCCCATTTAATACTAGACCAGGCTGCCCAGGGCCCCATCCAACCTGGCCTTGAACACCTCCAGGGATGGGGCATCCCCAGCCTCTCTGGGCAGCCTGTTCCAGCACCTCACCACTTTCTTGGTAAAGAACTTCCCCCAATATACAACCTAAATCTTCCCTCCCTCAACTTCAAACCATTCCCCCTTGTCCTACCAATATCTACACTTGTAAATACTTGACTTCCATCCTGTTTGTAGGTTCCCTTTAGGTACTGGAAGGCTGCAATGACATCACTCTCATACTCTTTAGCTTGAAAAGCACTTCATGATATAAACCAGCTTGAAATCACAAGCTGCCACTGAACAATCTTGTAGTTTTGGAAAAAAGTCTTCAAATTATCAACTTCAAGGCTTACAGAAAAAACTGATCTTCAGAAGCATTTATGTTGGTAAAATTGCCACCAAGTACCCACCAAGCTTCTCTCTTGCTCCCCCTTCTCTTTCTTGGCAGGAAGAAGGGGAGAAAATAAAATGAAAAACCAAACAAACAAAAGTTATGAGTTAAGGACAGGAAAATCGCTCATCAGTTACTATCACGATCAAAACAAACTTGGCATGAGGGAAATTAATTTATTGCTAATTCATAACAATGTAGAATAGTGAGAACTAAAAGCAAACTAAAAACTCCTTCCTCTCCATTCCACACTTTTCTACTTATTCCCCTCTGAGGGGCTCAGGGGGGTGGGGAATGGGATTATAGTCAGTCCAAAATACAGCTCTACGGGTACTTCTCACATTCTTTCCCTTCTCCAGCATGGGGATCATCCTACGGGATACAGTCCTTCTTCATGAACTGCTCTGATGTGGGCATCCACAGGCTGCTGTTCTTCAAGAACGGCTCCAGTATGGAGCTTCTCCACAGGATACAGTGCTTCAGGAGCATGCTGCTCCAGCATAGGTCCCCCATGGGCTGCAGCTTCCTTTAGGGTGTGGGGTCATTGGACATTAGGAGAAACTTTTTCTCTTAGAGGTTGGTCAGGCACTGGAATGGCCTGCCCAGGGAGGTGGTGGAGTCGCTGTCCCTGGTAGTGTTCAAGAGGCGCCTGAATGAGGAGCTACGAGATATGGTTTAGTAGCTTGTGGTACTAATAGGAATGGGAGGGTGGTTGGACTAGATGATCTTGCAGGTTGTTTCCAACCTTGCGATTCTGTGATTCTGGGTCCTCCATGGAGTGCAGTGTGCAGAGTGGAGTGCCGTGAGCCAGCAGTGTGCCCTTGTGGCCAAGAGGGCCAATGGCATCCTGGGATGCATTAAAAAGAGCGTGGCCAGCAGGTCGAGGGAGGTGATCCTCCCCCTCTACTCTGCCCTGCTAAGGCCTCATCTGGAGTACTGTGTCCAGTTCTGGGCTCCCCAGTACAAAAAAGACAGGGATCTCTTGGAAAGAGTCCAGCAGAGGGCCACAAAGATGGCGAAGGGACTGGAGCATCTCCCCTATGAAGAAAGGCTGAGTGAACTGGGTCTGTTCAGCCTTGAGAAAAGAAGACTGAGAGGGGACCTGATCCAGGTCTATAAATATCTAAGGTGTGGGGGGCAGAATGGCGAGGCCGGACTCTTTTCAGTGGTGAGTGGAGACAGGACAAGGGGAAACGGCCGGAAACTGCAGCATAGGAAGTTCCGCACAAATGTGCGCAAGAACTTCTTTACGGTGAGGGTGACGGAGCACTGGAACAGGCTGCCCAGGGGGGTTGTGGAGTCTCCTTCTCTGGAGATGTTCAAGACCCGCCTGGATGCCTACCTGCAACCTGCTGTAGGGAACCTGCTTTGGCAGGGGGGTTGGACTCGATGATCTCTGGCTGTCCCTTCCAACCCCTACAATTCTGTGATTCTGTGTATATCTGCTCCAACGTGGTCTTCCATGGGCTGCAGAGGAACAACTTATTCCTCCACAGGCTGCAAGAGAATCTCTGCCTGGAGTACCTCCTCCTTCTTCACTGACCTTGGTGTCTGCAGGGTTGTTTCTTACATTTTCCTCACACCTCCCAGTTGCTGTGCAGCATTTTTTATCCTTTCTTAAATATGTTATCACAGAGGCACAACTAGTATTGCTAACTGGCTCAGCTTTGGCCAGTGGTGGATCCCTTTTGGAGTCAGCTCAAACTGGCTCTTATCTGACTTGTGGGAGGATCTGGTCTCATATCAGAGGCTACTTCTGCAGCCCCCCTGCTACTACCAGATCTTTGCCACATAAACCCAATACAAGTATACAGATTAGTTAACCTTTAAAAATTAAGGAAAAACACACACACACACACACACACACACACACACACACACACAAAAAGGAAAAAAGCAACCACAAAACAATCACAAAATGTTTATGACTTCTATTTTCTTTCATTTTGGTTGCTTGAGGACATGCAGAGAACTGTGCTTAATTACAAAAAAGCTTAAAGATTCTGCAGATCACTTTCTGCTATAACATGAACTGTTGGTATACCAATGCCAGTCACATGCAATTTCATTTATATGAAGTTCACTGTTTATTTAACTGCTTTATTTTGATCTGGGTTTAAAATAGGACATAGTTTGAAAACATCTGTATTTTCAGATTAAGTAAATTTATTTCCATTTTATTTTGGTCATATTTCAAGTCAGATACATCTTATTTAGTATTGATCTATTATTCAGTTCTAGCTAAAAAATAAGAATCAATTCACTTACCTGTAAAACCCAGGGATAAATTCTTAATAAAGAAATCGTTTATTAATATTAAATATTTAATATATAGTTCTATTAATATACTTTAATAAGAACTAGTAAATTGGCAGAACAGTAGAATGACTACATGATATAAACCACAACTTTATAAGAAGAAATTATAAAACAAAGTGGCATTACCTGTAAAGCCTCCTGTTTATTATAGAATTCATTATCATCTGGTGGTTTAATAAGGTAACAATGGTTACAACACTTCTTCAGTTCCATCATGATGTTCAAAAATCCTGAAGTACTGCCTTTAGAACCTTTGCTCAGGGCTTTATAATTCCTGGTTAAAATCCACCTATGATATAGAACGTGTAGTGGAAATAATTCCTAATATTTGTCACGTTTCCACAAATGATAAGCTCTCAAACTGTCAGTTCAAATTGCATTATGAGAACTACTACGCTTCAGTACTTTTCATATAGACATCCAATTAAAATAGCTGAATTTTAAGTGTCATTTCTTACTTGTAATATTGCTTCTGCAATGCACTCATTTCCATCCTTAAAATTTGTTCAACCTTAGCAGGTAAAGACTTTTCTACATCTTTTTTAACTCTTCTGAGTAGAAATGGTTCAAGTTCTTTGTGAAGACTTGCATAACCAAACTCTCTCCCTTTCCCATGCTCCTCTTCAAAATCCTCCCACGAAGAAAACCTTCAACATAAGAAAAAATAAAGGTAAAATAGCGACATCATGTGAACAACCTGAAGAAGCAACAGCCAAGAAGAAACAGAACACACAAAGCCCATAAATACAACACACGCACACAAACGTATATGGACTTCTTCCCCACTCTCCTCTGTTTAATTTAATAATACACTTCTGAATTTCTACATCCCAAGAAATTTTAAAAGTTTTGTCTGCAAATAGTAGAATGGAAATTTCCAAGCACTTCCACAAAATGTAAATTAAAAATAAGTTACTGAATAATTTCTCCAGTGAAAACCCCTGCATTTTACTTTTCTGCATGGAAACGCAGGTAGAAAATTACAGAAATCCCATTACTATATTTCTTAAGAGCAGCATAAAAAAAACAGTTGCACGGTTGGACGAAGTGCAAGAGAACAGTCCATTTTACATACTTTTTGCAGCTTACATGGACTAGCTGAAATTTGATTATCCTCTGATATGTGCTAACAAACTAAGCAAATGGACTGTGAGGTTCTGAAGAAGTCAATGAAATTGCATAGTTCCAAAACTAATTGGAGCTATAGTGCTTTGTATTTTGAAGATACCTGAAAAGAACATGTACTCTCATTTATCCAAGATATAAACATAAACCAGTACAGAACAGTATCAGTACAATAAATCTATTGTATGCAAAACATAAAGGCAAATTGGCTATCTAATTGAACTACTGCATATCAGGCATCATAGTACAAACTTGCTTTCATTAATGGTACTAACATAGAATGCGTTTGAGAATGTCTTTTTCTATTTCCCCAAAGTAAATTTAAAAGGAAGACCACATGGATTAAGATGCATCTTCTCAGGAACTTGACCCATTCAATCCATCTTATTTTTTTTGTGGACTACTAAAACCGAAAAAGCAGCAACTGCTTCAAGAACAATCTATGAAGAATACCATGAAAAATTACGTATATCTATTTTATACAAAATATTTAAACTATTTCACAACACAATTCTCTCTATATTGATTCTTCAATCACTACAATATTCCACCACAATAAAGTTGATAAATAAGAGGAATCACATAAAACTCTTCCTTACTTCTCTGGCATGATGAAGTGCAGCAAAGACCAAAGCTCTTTGAGGGAGTTCTGCAGGGGGGTTCCAGTAATAAGAAGACGATGACTAGACTTGAAGTCTATTAAAGTCTTGTATAGAAGGGAATCATCATTTTTTAAACGATGAGCTTCATCAATCCCTATAAACACCCAATTCAGACCACCAAGGAATGACTTAAAGAAATGGAAGGGGGGGGAGGGAAGACATTAAATGAGTTAGTGTCATGCAATTTCTGAATTTTTACATAAGGTTATAAATCCCATATTTTTTATTTTAATACCATATTGACACCTATGGGTTTTTATGTTTGCTGGATTCAACTAAAAGGTATAGAATCATTCCAAGTTTAAAAGGAAAGCAAAAGGCTAAGAAGTTAACCTATATGTTTTCAAATAATAATTAAAAACAAACAAACAAAACACTCTTCTTTCCATTATATACAAACAAATGGAACCATTTCCTGGATGACAGTCCACAGGGAAGTAGATCATTTTAAAAAGCAAAGAAATTACCACAGTAATGAGAAGCCCAAACAAAGAACCCAAATACGTGTAACTCAAAAACACGTCAAATGTAAAACTCACTTCACCTCCCTGAAAAAATAGGTGTGATTACCTTATCCTTCAGCAAGATTTCATAAGTTGTTAGAAGTATATTAAATTTTAATCGCTTGGTCTGTGGATGCATCCATTCATGAGTTCTTATCTACAAAAAACAAACAAACAAAAAACAACAAAAGAATCAGACAAAACGTAAGCTAGAGTCATCATGATCAATAAGACTTCAAGCACTATAGCAATGTAAATGTTGAGAGACATACAATAATTTGAATCAAGGAACCGGAACGCAATATTCCAGGTGGATTTTTCTTTTTGAATTTTTGAAGAAATGGCAAAGAATTACCACTTTTACGTTTTTATTTTTAATTTGACAGTTACTTAAATTCCTCCTTTCAGAAAAGGAATTTGGAAATTATCATGGACTTGTATGCTTAAAAGTTTTATTTTATGCAGCTAAATAACTGCATGACAAAAGACAATATATTTTCAAATACAAGGTTACATTTTAAATCTTTTTTATTATTAAGCCTTAAAGAAGTCTTTCACATACATTTATATAAGATCAAAACTTAAGCTTTTAATTTGCATTTTAAACACAATGTTTAAAGTATTTGCTCAGTATTAACCAAAGTATTGGAGACTAGCAGAAGACAAGAAAATAAAATGGATCTTGTTTACTGCTTAGCTTCTTCAATGATACAAAGAAATACTCACCATATTTCTACTAGTTATATCTCCTAAGTAAACCACAGCATTCATCTGAGGAGCCCAAATCTGAATCTCTCTTTGCCAAGATGTCAAAGTAGAAAGTGGCACAACCAGCAAGAAAGGCCCATACAGTTCATGTTCATGGAACAGGTAGTTCAAAAAAGAAATTGTTTGTATTGTTTTACCCAGACCCATTTCATCTGCAAGAATACAACTATTCCCTCTAAAAAAAAAAACAAAAAAAAACACAAAAAAAAACAATTGTTATGAATACTTACAATTTAGAAACAGTAAAACTAATTTAAGACTATACTTACTTGCACCACGAGTGAGCAAGCCAGTTCAGCCCATTTAACTGATAATCTCTTAACTCTAAACAATCGCGTCCTCCAATATAAGGTGGTTGCTTCTTGAACGCAACAAACCTCGGCCTCTGTTTTAGAATCTGTTTAAAGCAAATTAAGCATCAATAATACTACAGAATGAAGTTACCAAAATATCTTCCTATAGAAACAAAAAAGCAGTAGTAACCTGCAGGGTGACCAAGTCCAGTCTTAATTCACCACATAAAACTAGTCCATATAACACAGTCAACTCATTTGCAAATTCAATTCAGCTAACAGTTGAACTAAATTCCACAACAGAGATGAAATTAACTTGTTCACAGAGGTTACTTGTAAAAAAATACTAGAGCACCAAATTCCATCTCTGAACAACAATATAAGAAGTTGGGAAAAAAAAAGCCTACAAAAGCCTCCATATTTTGCAGTTGTTGAGAGTAGCTGCAGTGGAGCCAGCCTGGCCAGAACTAAAACAATCAATCTTGAGATAAAAGGGGGTTTCAGAAATACCCTAGAATAGGATCAGACCTAAAGTGCAGGACAAGGGATCAATTGGTAAATGAGGCTCAGTGGGAGCCCAACTCAAGTGCCTGTACACATAGAACACAGGGAACAAGCAAGAAGAGTTACAGGTGTGCATATGCCTAAACAACTATGATGTCACTGGCATCACTGAGATGCGCTGGGATGACTCTCATGACCAGAACGTAGGAATAGATAGGTATAAACTCCCCAGAAAAGACAAGCAGGGGAGAAGGGGAGGGGTTGTTGCCCTCTACATCAAAGACCACCTGGAGTCCACAGAGTTCCACCTGGGAATGGATGAAGAGCTGACAAAGAGCTTATGGGTGAAGGTTCAAGGGAAGGAGACATCATAGAGGGGGTCTGCTACAGGCTGCCTGATCAGGAAGACCAAGTGGTTGAGGCCCTCTAAAAACAAGAACAGCTTGATATTCACAAAACATGGTCCTCATGGGGGACTTCAACCACCTCGATAGCTGCTGGAAGAACAAAACAGCAGTGCATCAGACATAGAAGAGGTTCCTGGAATGTGTTGATGATAGCTTCCTCTTTCAAGTAGTACATGAACCCATGAGAAAAAGTGCTATATTGGACCTTGTCCTCACCGACCAGGAGGAGGCGGTGAGTAATGTGAAGCTCAAGGGCAGCCTTGGCTGCAGTGACCATGAAATGTTGGAGCTCAAAATCCTTAAGGTATGAAAGTGGGTACACAGCAAGCTTGCTACTCTAGACTTCAAGAGAGCAGACTTTGAACTTTTCAGGAAACTGCTCGGCAGGGTGGCATGGGAGAAAGCCCTGGAGGAAAGAGAAGCCCAAGAAAGGTGGCTGGGATTCAAAGACCATCTCCTGCTTATTGCCTGGGAGAAGAGGCCAAATCCCTCCTCATCACAACCTCCCTTC